ATTGAACTGGTGGGTGTTACAAGAACTCGAGTTTAATAGACGTACTCCAGTGTACGTTTCTCTTGCACTCCTCGATTTTCGTCCACAAACGCGCGCTCAGCGAGGCGTTTCAAATCCTGATAAAAAGCTCTCATCTGGTTGTTGGTAACCGGAGTGGGACACTTGCCGTTATTGCATGGGAACTGGTGGTAAGTCCAGGAGCCACGCGAGTTCCTCACTTGTAGCTGCGTTAACCTCTTTCACCCATATTTTGATATTGGCCACAATGTCGATATCTTTATCTTCCAATAATCCCCGCAACCTATTTCTTTGCGTGGCCTATAAGCATTTCAGAATGTTCGGTGAAGCTTGTTTCGCTCATCTTGCGCAGTGCATGGCAACATAAATTTTTGGAAGGGAAATCGCGGAAAATTTATTCGACATTAGTAAGATTCTCATAGATACCTGAAAACTTCACCAGAAATACAGACAACTCCTTCTTGACCTCTCCTGCATCTTCGTCAGACACTTCCTAAGACTTCTCCATTATTTCCGTTACCATTAACTAGACGATCCAGGCACGGTCGTTAAGTGTGTAATAATCGTCCAAGTGAGGTGTTCCAAGTTCTTCCGTAATCGACACAGAGTAGGTCGCGCTGGACATGATAACCCGCAATGAAAAACTAGGGATGGTAGGTGGCCGGAAGTGCAGCCCCAATCACCTATTAAGAAGTAATATGGCCTAAACCAGTAAGTAGTTGTATAACCGAGAGGCAACCATCCGCAAATTGAGCAGTCCGCAGTCAAGATCACGACACGCGTCGGTTAAAACAATATGGCGCTTCACCTTACGCTGTCCTCCTTGGTAGACAAGTATTGCCTTGCCGGTGCCAAGAAAGGTCGTTTTTTATTTTTTTTGCAAGGAAATGTCTTTGTTGGGCTGTTCCCTGGCTCTCTGTTAGGAGCTTATTGGTGCAACTACCCGCTGTTTCATCTAGTTTTCAAGGATTGATCTCGGTCCGTCGCGAATCATGTATTAATTCGCTTGTAGTTGTGATGGTGTAAGGTACTTCGGACACACGACTAGACGATTGGAGAAACGCATAGCAGAGTATTGTGTTGTGGACATGCGAAGATCGGTCATCAGCTCTATTTTGGAACACCTAGCTCAATTCGTGACCACACACACCTTCAATGTTTTCTACGTCGTGCCGAAACCCGACTCGAAAAAACTTTGAAAACACTTACCAGTGTCAAAGAAGCCTTTGCGATCAACCTGGTGCGTCTCGAACTGTGCAGGCTGTTGGGGGCTGATGCAGCCCATCCTCCTACCATCTTCCTTACTTGGGCGTGAACGCTGTGCTCCTCGATCCTAGGCAGTGACTCGGTTTGCCCCTTCATGAAGCCGGCCGGATTAACCGTTGTGCATAGTGTGCGCGTATGGATGTGCGCGACCGTCATTATGGCTTGCAGTTGGACTGACGAACACTGGCGGTTGTTTGGAATCAACGAACTTTGGTTTAGCTTTGTAAGTCTATTGGAATGCTTCAACCAGTGTATGGCGTGATGAGATTTATTTAAGCGAAAATTTTCGCTATAAACGGAAGACTAAGACTGTTACCAGAAGCTAAACTGACGTTGATGATTCACGACGAATGTCGAATGTCGTTCTAAACTTGGTAGATCGACTGTTCATCTCTGGTGCGCCGGTTCTTCCTCACATGAAAAAGTGCTAATTAGTTTAGTGAAACGTTTGGCCATCCAAAAATCTCGCAACGGCGGCGTCATGCATGTGTCACATGAACTGAAGTTTATTAGCGTGTGGCCAACGATTAGTACTCGTATATGTATGATGTACAGGTCGTCTAGTTCGAATGGCTATGGGATCGACTAATTGAGTGATGTACTCAAAGTAGATCACCGGAATGATTTTAGGGCAAAATGAGTAGCAAATTGAACCCGACTCGAACAGGCTGTGCTGTTAATCACGTGAACATTGGGGTTGCTTTTAAGCGCTGGATTGGTCGGACGTTCTGTGGATTTGTACCTTGTTCTCCTTATAAACTGAATCCTTGGGACACAGCGAGATGTTGGCACTTTACCTCATTCGCAACGCCTGCATCAAATCGCCGTTGGCAACAGATTGGCTACACTCAACTTTTCATTTATCTCCTTCCCTGCGAGACAACTGGAAATTAGTGATTGAAACTCTCCATTGCGATTCATTCATTATAATTACAACTTTTGTGTATCACGAAGCATATACCTCATTCTAACAGATTTTGCACAGGTTTTCCCCGCGTGGTTCCTCTTCGTTAACTCACTTCGTTTCCCATTCCAGGCGAACGCCCACATGCATGTGACCACTGTGGCAAATCGTTTTTTAAGAAGAGCAATTTGGAAAGGCATATCGGTTCTGTTCATTTGGGTGAGTGTGTAGCCGTAGGAGTCACTAACTTTGTACCGTCGTCCATGGTTTTATTTGATTTCATCCAAGTCAGCACTGCATTTTTTCACGTTGTGGCCACATGTTATTGTGCAAAAAGTTTCCAGTTCTCATACCAGCTAGTTTGCAGTGTACCGAATGAGCGTGGTACATGGTTTGCCTTTTATTTGCTTACCTCTGATGGAACGTACTTGTATATAAGATGGTTGGCGGTTTCCTTTTCCGGATTTACCTGTCATTGCGGCTTCCGTAGGACAGCCACATGAAACCTGCGCCTACAGCGGGACCATTGATGGCTTGCGCTGCACTACCCACAGCTCGATCCACACACCTCATCTTTACTGGTTTCCCGAAGGAATAAGACCAGGAGGCATGTTCCATCAGTGGAGCCTACACACACTTCTTCAATATGCAATGCAGCCGGATTCCCGGCTATCCTTGTAGGGAATCATACGTAACAGACGTACACAATACTTTGGCTTGGCCGTATTGTGCTCCCCAACTTGGCCTATCACGGCCACGAGTACCCCGCCCCCCCCACCTCAGCAACAATTCACAGTTTCATGTTATTGTGGATAAAGTAAAAACATTAAGGAAAGCCCGCCAGTTCATCAACTAATCGATTAACTTACCTTGTGCACTTTTGAAATCTAAGGACAAGTTGAATGCCAACTGGCCGAATCCTAACTCGATGAGTGCGGTTGCGTTATTAAGCGGATTGCATGCTCTGTACCTTCCTTTCGATGTGCGTGAACTCGCAGTTCAACCGCGGGCTACCGGCTTGGCAAAGTCCGTCTAACCGAACCAAGTCTGTTCTCTCGCTTGGTTCTCTGGTTCTCACTTGGCAGTGGATCACGAGAAGTTTGATCAGTCTGGCTTAGAGCCTAGAGGAAGGTCGTCGTGTTGCTCGTGATATTGGCGAATTGGACGCAGAACGGATGTGTGCCAGCTACCTCGAAGCCGAATTCGCACACAGCAACGCGGATCTCAACGTCTTGCTCGTGGACGCGGTTCCCTATCCTCTCGCCGCTGTTGTCGATTGGGGCAGCGACACTTGTTATGCTGCATCCATCGTTTATCTGGTATACACCAATCTGGCGGATGCTAGTACAAAGGAGTCCTATCTAACCAATCTGTACATTGTCGGTAAAGGTATCATTTACGATTCGGGTGGCTCTTACTTGATGGTTGTCGGTAACGTGGCCACAATGCATCGAGACAAGTGTGGAGCCTCTGTGGTGGCCGGATTCTTCAAGGTAGCCGGTCTACTCTCACCAGAACATCTGGGGCTTCATGATAGCCTAGCCATCATCCGTAAAGATATCGGACCCAAGGCGTACGTCAGCGATGAACTGATCACCTCTTGGGCTGGGGTTCGCGTTCGAGTAAACAATACTGACTCGGAAAGACGCATGGTTATGACAGATCTGCTATAGGAGACGAAGGAGCGGGCTTTGCAGGTACCCATTCCTTACATGATAACTAACGAAACACTGAACGGGCATTCCATCCTGACATACGGACCAGAGTAAACGGCCATCGTGTACGATGGACCTGCTCGGGGCCTAAACGTAGATTTGATATTCCAAGAGACCGGATCATTTTTGGGTAAAATGATCAAGATATCTGCTCTGCGTCGTGAGGACTACAAAGCATACCGTGCCCAGAAAGAGTACGCTGATTTGTTCAGTCTAGTTCCTCCGATTGGTTTGACACTCGTCCGAGAACATCAGTTCCAAGCGGCTTTCATGTCCCTTGTCTCTGGTTTAGACTCACACATGCGTGATTCGGAATACTCGTTATTTGAGCAAATAATCGATTAACTTCTATTGTGCATTGATTTCGAAGATTCCATGACTTTCCATTCCCTCACGTGACCGTTAACATACCGAGGTTTGGCAAGGAAGCTACTAATTTTGTCAGTTGATGCTGGTTTTCTAGAAGCCGAAGGTCATTAAGCGACCTACAAATTTGACGAAGCTCTGGAGCCGTTGTACAGCGTTTTGACGGTGTTAGCTTAGCACATTTTTCTCGGTCAAGGGCGTTGCACTTCCGATTTTTCTTCGGCTGGACAAGAAGTTTTGCGGGGAATTTTGGTTATTTAACTTTGCATAGCGAAGAGATTAGGAAGATCTAACACTTGGAGCTTGTAGTCAATGTGGAGGAGGTTAGACCTATCGGCATTTTGTCAACGTTCACATCAAGCGCGGCCACACCGGGGTATCTGACAACGAAAATGTAATTTAAGGGAAAGTATACGCTCAAAATTAACAGCAAAATAACAGAATTAAGCCCACCAAGTAATGTGGAATAGCTTATATTCCTAATAAATTAGTGATCTAGGTTAGGTGTAAGTCCGTTTAGCCTAATTGTGTTGAAGACGCATTATGCATGCAACCTCAACATCAGCATTGGGCACTGTATGTAAACTGATATATATATATATATATATATATATATATATATATATATATATATATATATATATATTTAAACAGTGTGGGCCAGCTCCGTTGATGAAACATGGCTCCCATCCGCATGCGTCCCGGTCTTATTCCTTCAGGATTATACCGGATATGGGGGTGTGAGTGGAACTGTGGGTGACTTGCGGTGCACCACCCATAGCTCCATCCGCACACCCCATATCCAGTGTAAACCCGAATGAATAAGACCGGGAGGCATGTGGATGGGAGCCACTTTTCATCAACGGATCTGGCGCACACTCCTTCACAGACAAACACAAGCACTCCGTATTTGGGGAATCAAGTGCACACAAGGCGGTGGCTGGACCGTAGTCCGCTCCACACTGAGTGCATGGAACCACTCTTTGATCCTAACACAGCCACAAGGACCGTGCACTCCGTCCCTTCCAGCAACGACCAGCTGTCTCCTCGAGCCAGTATGGACGAGGTAGTGGGTAATAGACAGGTAGGTACCTTATCAACATGCTCATCAAGCACAGCCACACCGAAGATATCAAACAACAGCCAATCATTTTAAACGACAAGATGAAATAAAATAAATCGGATAATGCACACAGATACGGGGACATAACTCTTCACTAAATGTGCGTCTGCAAATGATTACGAACGAATCCTCAATAAGTTCAAGAGGTCAGAAAACATATTTTAAGAAAATGCCACAAGCGCGGAAACGTTATCGTAATTAACTACAATTAGCTTCAGCGACGTGTGCAAGTTTATAGAAGATAGTACAGGGAGACAGTAATATGAGAAAGGAAATGATTAGTACAAAATTGCAAACCCACCACCTGAAATCAAGGGACTTAGCATGCAAGTACACGGTTGGTAAATCGAATGCAGCGTACCCAAAAACGCTGCGCCGGTTCTGTCTAGCTTCTCTGCAGGACCCGTCGTCGCTTGGTTGGTGGTTCCGGGTGGCCTCGTTCATGGCTCACTAGGCCTGCCTGGCTCAGGCACTCGCGACCGCATGTGCTACAGCCGCATGCGCTCGATGTCGACGCATCGGCGCTTGCCGCTTCCGCACTTGCAGCTTCTCTGCATGCATGAGGTCTTTCTCCCGCACTGCTTCGTGATCAGCTCGCGCTATGCACGCCGACCAACCGCCTTTGATTTCCATGACCTGCAATCAAGATTAGAACGTGAGAGGCTCAGTTTCATCATGTCCTGCTAACGTAACTTTGGTTTCCCCATATGCCGCTTCCCAATACTTCGCTGACCATATAATAGTTGTTTCGATATCCGCTTTGAATCCAAACGCCACACGTGACCCAACCACCTCAGGTGTCTCAGCAAAAGGATGCAGTCCACTGCATACATCCCAATAAGACGCAACACTTCTGTGTCAGTGACTCTGTCGCCCCATCTGATGCGTATGATCCGTCGCAAACACTGTTGATGGAACCGCTCGAGATATCGCACATCCTGACGCTACATCGTCCACGTTTCACTGCCGTATAGAAGAACGGACAGCACCATGGCTTTGTACACCATCAGCTTCATGCCAATGGTATGCTAATGGTTGTTCCACACTCAATTCTCAAGCTTCTCGAATGCCGCCGCTGCCTTCGACACGCGGATACGCAGTTCACTGTGCAGCTGCTGATCAGTGGACATCACAATCCCAAGGTAGCAAAAGCGCAAGGTGGTTTCCAATACTTCAGCGCCATTGCTGATTCGCGGCAATATTGAAGATTGCACCTCCGGTGAAGGCTGAAAGAGCCAGACAGTTTCGCTAGTGTTGACGGTGAACCCGAATTTTGTCGCTGTCTAAGCCCGGACAGTAATCATGTGCTGCAACTCATCCGCGCTGTGTGCAAACAACGTACAGTCGTCAGCAATATAATAGTTAGGTGTCTCACAGACTAGCGTTCATGCACCGTAACGACAGATGTTCAACAATCCTCCACCAATACGGTGTTCCACGCGAACACCTTAAGCACAAGCCGCATCAAAAGCACAAAACATCATGGCGTGAAGATAGATATTAAACAGGGCAGGAGGTAACACAGCCTTGCTTCACACCAGAGACAACTGCAGAGTCATCCGAGGTCACTCCACTCAGCTGCACCCTCGCTCGCATACCAGTGTGCAGCCATTAAATTAAACATACAAAGCGGGCAACCAAACTCACCCAACACCAGCTATAGTGCATCGAGGTTCACCGTATCAAATGCTTCGCTGAAATCAACAAAATGCGTGTATAACGGCTGGTGTCGTGTGCAGTTCTCCTGCAACTGAGGAGCCGCAAACACCATATCTATAGTGCTGCGACCCAAACGGAATTCACACTGCTCTTCCGCCACTTTAGATTCCATAACTTTACTGACAGGTGGCTAAGCATGATTTGGGCAATCACCTTACCCACACAACTCAGCAAGTTGATGCCACGATAATTTGTGCAACATTGCTTGCTCCCTTTGCCCTTATACAGTGATAGCACAAGGGCATCTTTCAGCTCAGGAGGCACGTTCTCCTCAATCCATACGCGTTGCACCAAGTGGTGCAGCGTAGTCACCAACGCGGGTCCGTCGTGTTTCAATACCTCAGGCGGGGTTCCGTCGGCACCGGCACACTCGCCGTTTCGCAGCTGAGCAAGTGCCCTCTGCGTCTCGTCCAGTGTCGGCGTATCTGCCAGACTCGCCTTCACATCGTACTGCTTAAGGCCGTTCAATGTAGGTCAGTCGATCTCTGAACGGTTGTTCAAGTGACAGTCAAAGTGCTTTTGCCAAATATGCATTATGTCTGCAGTCTATGTGAAGTTAGCACATGAACTACCATCGATCAGTTTCCTCAGCAGGTCCAACGTTGGTCCATACACCGCCTTTAAAAAGTCAAAGAATTCCTTGTGTTGGCAGCGTTCGGCATAGCATTCCCTCTGATTTGCCTTCTCCGTACACCATGCATTTGTAATGCGACGGAGCTCGCGAAACTGACTCTTCCCAAGTCACATGGGTCTGTCACATGTGCAGCAAATGCTGCATTCTTCTCACACACCAATGCGCCAATCGTCTCATTGTTGTCATGGAACCAATCAGGACGCTTCCAGTTTGCGCGCCCGATGGTCTTCTCGGCAGCAGCTGTCACCTGGTCGCGAATGTGCTGCCACAGATCGCCTACTGTGGCTATACATTCCACTTCACACAGGCGTGCAGTCATCGCCTTCTCCAGCTCAATGCGTTTCTCTACAGTACCGCGGGCGAGAATGTTAAATTTACGCCGATTCACGGCGGGAGTGCAATACATGGATGTACGAAAATATAAGTGCAGTTTGGTCTGCACCAATTTGTGATCAATGCCAGACTCAGCTCGCCGCAATACGCATGTCATGTGCACTTCACGCAAATCACGCTGACGTGCGATAACATAGTTGAGCCGATGAGCGTGACCACTCCTTGGGTGCGTTCAATTTGCCTTATCACTCGCGCTCAGTGCAAACCGAGTATTCTTGATCATCCGGCCGGGAGTGGCAGACAGTGAAAGCAGCCTGTCACCGTTCGCATTCGCTGAACCAATGCCATGCGGACGCATAACGTCTGTCCACACCGATGCATCAGGCCCAACGCGCACGTTGAAATCACCCAGCAGAAATAGTCGATCGCTCCTTGGCACAGACTGTATCACGGATGATAGCTGAGTATAGAATTGATCACGCGTGTCATCAGGATAACACATTGTCGGACAGTACGTGCTTATAAAGGTAGCAAACTTACCTCTTCCGAGTCGTAGGCGAACAGTCATAAGTCGCGCGCTGATGCCTGTTGGTTCACCCACCAGCTGGTCAGGGAGGCGATCGGATATTGCAAATGCGACCCCATCATCATGTGGTGCTGAGGCGGCGCTGCTCACCCAGTATAATGTGTAGCCAGTACATGCTTCATACAACTTACCTTGCTCAGCGAGCCGAGTTTCACTGAGCGCCGCAATATCGATGTGGTAGCGCGCCAGTTCCATCGCGACAAGTGCAGTGCTTCGCTTGGGCGCTTACCCGAGTTCCGGTCCAGTTGTGTGCGCACGTTCCACCACCCGATGCTGAGTGTTTTGCGCGCAGGCATACGATTGCATTGGTGGGTAATGGCACGCGACTTAGCGGTTGTGCTGGAGGTTTGCTTGAGGGACTCCACCCGGAGCTTTTGGCTTGATAGACTGACCCACAAGGCAGTGGGTTGTTTGGAGGTTTGCTTGAGGGACTCCACCCGGAGCCTTTGGCTCAATAGCCTGACCCACAAGGCAGTGAGGAGCAGATCCAGCTCGGGAATGTGATTGCAGAGACAGATTGGCATCTGCTTGACGGCCGTCACACACAGCCTTTGAGGTAGTGGAACGATTCATATATGTTTTGCGACTGTAGTAGGATACACCTGGGACCACGGCCATATACGGGTGGATTTTGGCAGGTTTTGCACCAATTTCACCTGCCTGACTTGAGGCGGGCGGTAACAAATCAGCTTCAGAGACAATGCGTGGCGCTCCTTCTCTACGCCAATCTAGCTATGAGCTTATAACCCGTAGACCTGTTGTCTCCCATTTCTAACTTTTACGGGAAGAGGACCATCGACCACTTCCTAACCTCCGAAGAGGATGGACTAGGATACTGGCAAGGCGCCCACACCTGACAGGAGAACGACTCGGGTCCTCAGCCAAAGCCTTCGCTTAAATGTACACCCGAAAGGCAGCGGGTCTAGCACATGGTCACTTCACTGACTCATGCGGATTGGTGTCCTGGATCTTAGCAGGGAGAAGGGCGTAACCCAACTCCTACCCAGCGGTCGCCACGAGGAGGCGTCCAGAATATGAGCCAATGGCACAACAGTAGCAGCAGTGGGTTCACCATCTGGCAGTATATAACCACCAACCATCAATATATATATATATATATATGTGTGTGTGTGTGTGTGTGTGATTTATGGCGATACTGCTGACGTCATACTGCTTGGTCCTAATAAAATTACCTTATCTGCTTGCAGCCGGGTGGATCTGAGGAAACATGCTGTCGCTGAGCCCCCCTTCTTTCTTTCTGCCTCACATATTCTCTTCTTGTCCCCTTTTTATCTATCACCCAAAATTCCTGTAATTCATCTTTCCACATGGTCGATTACCTGCGCAGTCCTTTGCCTGTTTGCCAAGCGTCCAGCTTCGGGTGTTGGAAAGTGCGCACTCTAGTTGACCAAAACATAGTGAGCGCACTTATTCGCGCACTACCATAGTCGCCATGGAACTCTCGTGCAAGTGGATCGATATTGCAACACATTGAGACACCACCAACTGCCAAGGGGGCTGCATGATACTGGTACCGGTTACACCTTCTACTGGAGATGGGAAACGTCACCATAGCATCACGTGCGCATAGGTTCGGATTTTCTCTATCTGTCCTCCTACGACTTTTCGCCTGCGACTTGGAATAGGTAAATTTGCAACTTTCATTAGCACCTTTGATCTCACCATGTGTTGTCTTGATGGCACGATGGATCTGTTTTATGCGTAGTTATCCACCGTGATACGGTCCGTGCCGAGGGTCGGCCGCCTATTCCTCATGCGTGATATCAACGCTCGCATTGGGTGGGATGCCGCGAGGTGAACAGGCGTCATCTGTCTATGGTATTGGCACAGCCAATGGAAACGGAGACCGGCTGCTCCCCCTTTGCGCCTCCCATGACCTGACGATCACGAAGGCATTGTTTACACTGGTTGTGATTGATAACACTGATTGGACGCAGCCACGGAGAGGTCACACTCACCTGCTCGACCATGTCAAGGTAGGCATCAAATGGTGCCTCATCATCCACTGTGTCCAAAAGTGCTGCCACTAAGCCACAGCTGGTGTTCACCGCACGGCTGCAGCAAACATTCGCCGTTGTCCATCCGCTCTGGGTTAAATCCTTACTTGCCGCCTAGTTGAGCTGCTGAAGTGCTCAGGCGACGTACTTGCGCCTTCATATTCACGTGCCATTTGGACGTCGCAGAACACGTGCGACTTAATACATATCAGGCTCAGCCTCGCTGCGAACTACCTATGCTTGGGACGTTCCGTTCACGACGCGCAAACGTCGTGTGCCGGCAAATATACGTGGTATAAGTGGTTTAATGGTTTATTTCTTAGTTTTGCTCACTTTTCAAATTTCGTTTTAACTCGAGTAAACCCACATGACGCGGTGGTCATTTTTCCACCTATGGTGAAAATGGTGCACATCAACATTTGACCGATGTACAATCGTTTCGCCTCACATCGAAAACATGGTGGCTTTCCAAAGTCTATATCACCTGTGGGAACATCAGGATATCCTCCTGTCAGTCAAGAATCGTAGTTACCAAGCATGGAGTAGGAGGATGTTCGCTTCACATTGGGAACATTAGGACAAAAGTCCTCAAGGTTTACGGAATATCGTTTATGTCATACGGAAGCACGCGGGTTGCAATACTGAAGTCCACATATTTGTGTTTAGGAATGCATCGTTTGCTACCACCCTGGGATTTGTTAAATCTGAACTTTTTGCATTCGGTTACGTCTTGTCCGCCGTACACTATATGCTCGCCTTTCATAAGGCGGCTGGACGAAACGGTGAGATGACAACTCTGCGATGTGCTCGGTCTACAAGAAATATTTACTCAGGGACCACTAGCTTGCAGGTGCTTTTTTCCTGCATGTTGTAAGAGAGGGAAAGAAGAAGCGTTATAAAAGTGGTCAGTGACAGAGAGTAGAGGGAATAAAATTAGAAAGCGTCATAACATTACATGTGGGTTGCGAGACTGGTTGCCGCAATGTTTGTAGTTATTGAGTTACATTTACATTCACTTTCACTGTTAGTCTTCAGCTTACCTCTTACCTATGCGTTTTGTTGCGTTTGTCCACAACCTTAACGTGTGAATTTTTTTCCCATTATTACTTGCGTTTGATATTCGTTTTTTGCCCATGTTCTGCATGTCTGATGGCTTCCTGTTTCCTGTTCCAGAACGACGAACCCACTCCTGTGAATATTGCGGAAAATCTTTTTTCTACAATGCTTATCTCCAGATCCATATATCTTCCGTCCATTTAAGTGAGTGCAGCCTTGGTTGCTTCGCTAGGTTCTCCTATTTTATATATGTCTAAACAACCAAATGTCCAATATTTCGACTTGTATATACCACCACACACCTGTATCATACTTCTTGTAACTCGTAGTCTATCAAATTCATTGTGGTCAACTTTTGAAGCTCATTTGGAACATATGTTCTCATAAACTACGAACTGGGATTCATTTTTCTACTTGTTTTTAACAATTTATTTCTTTGACACTACAGCGAGCGAAGGACTTGTTTCTTTCTGCCACTGATTGTGATTTGACTGCCTCCATCTTGAGTAGCAATCGAAAGCACCATGTATCTATTTTCTCACCGCACAGCTACCTTATGCCGTTTTCTTTTGACATTCATCATCGAGCCTTGTCAAATCACTTTACGGCATTTGTTTGAGACTGATGAAGTTTGGCTTTTGGGTGGATGCATTACCAGCTAATCATCTCTAATTGATTTGGCATCCGTTTGAAAATGGAAGAGCTGTCAACGGCTTTTTGTACACCTTGGTTGGGCTCACATTGTCAGGGTTTTCCTGCGCATCATTGTTCGGGACTTATCAACGGTGAGCAACCTGAGGTAGTGTTCACAACTGAAAGCCGGTTCCTCGGCAACTGAGAACAGCCATGGGCGACGGATGATTATGCTTCCTCGCAGCTAATAGCAGCGCATTACAAAACCAGCATGCGTGCCGCACGATTTCTTATTGAGGTGCGTTTAGCTTGCTAGCAATTATCAGATATTTCAATTGACTTGTATTCTACTAATCGGCATTGTCGAACCTGGTTCAGTAGAACCAATTGTCACCGAAAGAAACGTCACTTACATTTCACCGTGGCTTTAATGTCATCTGTACGCACTCAGCACTGCTATCATAAAGTAGCTCAGCCTTCGCATCGTGAAATATGTTGAGCTTGTTGGTCTGAGCTGGACTTATTCACTTGATGAATGAGCAATTCGTACGCTACGTGAGCAATCTGTTGGGTTCATGGATTCACGTATCGCAGTTTTAGGATGTAAAATCTAATCGCTTTTTAATCCCAGGTTATATGTCATTCAGTCTAGTAGATTATTTCAGACGGGATTTTTATTAAGCCGTTAGGGTGCCATTCTTTTCCTCTTAATCGTCATCTTTTGATCAATTGCAAGAGGCCGTTCTGATTGTATTCGCCACAACCTTTTTCTAAACGTTTATTCTTTTGTGGTTTGTAACACTGTTAAGTTCTTGTTCTCCGTTTCAGAAAAGCGGCCTCATCAATGCAAGTACTGTGAGAAAACGTTTTCTTCTATGGGCAGTCTCCGGGTCCACGAACAGTCTGTTCACCTGAGTGAGTAGATTTTTGAATTCATTGTTCGGTCGCAATCTTTTTCCTTTGGTTTTACGGTTATGACACAATGTTCAATTGGATATTTCGTTAAATGTTTGGAACCAATGTAATCTCCCATTCTTTTCGTATGCATTCGGTATGTGCCATCAGGCTGCTTCTATGTAAAGCAACACGCGTCACAAGCTACCCCAATGCGATTCGACGTAGTCTATTCGTCATTGACATAGAGGTTACTCACCGCTGTGTGATTTTCCATTATCAACAAAACTAATGAAGATTCTGATTTTTTGTTTACATATTTGCGCTGATCAGCTTGAAGTAACAAGGAGTGACTAATCCTCATTGCATTTCGGAACGTGTTAGCTGAATTTCACAGGGGACTGAGATTGTGCAGCGTGTATAGTCTTGACAGAAAGCAGATTTATCTATGCGATCCAAACAAGAACATCAGAAGACGTAGATTGTGAGATGACGTCGCCATTTCGTACGTTATCCATGGCTATATGGACGGGGTCATTGAGATGCGAGCGCCGATTTCTCCGCGGTCCAATTATGTGCACTGTGGTCGATCCTGAAACTTGTTGTCCAGCTGCAGTCCCCATCTACGATTGTCTAATTGTTATAGCACTGGTAAGGAAACCACCACTCTCCATCGTTTTGTGAATGTGCCTCACTCACCCATTTTCATCCCGCCCTCTTTTAAGATTCCCCACATTCGTGTTTTCTGTTCGCCTCACATTTTTGATTAGCTTGTATTGTCACTTAATCTCAAGCTTATTAGCTTTTCTCTTACTCTGCATATTTCGCTCGTTCTTAAGGCACCTTATCGATCTTTTCCCCTTGAACTGACTAGCCTTGTTTGACCGAATCTCAGCCTGTTTGGATAGTCTGTGTATATGTCCTGATTCGCAGTATTCGTGTGATTCGTACTCACGGACGCTTGGCTCCCGGTTCGACTCGCAGCGGGTAACTTTTTTTGTACCCGGGTTGCCGTTCGTGTGTCGGTTATTGCTTCGTGCGAGTGTTGTGAATTTCGCCTCCGGCGATGATGAATATTGGTGGCATTAGGATCATTTTGTGTTGTCTATCTGTCGTCAGGAATCTTGGAGTGGACACTTAATAGTTTGAAAATCGCCCTAATAGTGTACCGCCTTATGTCCATTTCCTCTGAACTATTCTCATTGTCACAGTATTATTTTGTCGTTTTCGAGGAAATCTATCCTATCTTTTATGTACCTCTCGAACTTCCTGTTTTTGCCTTCGGGTGTCCTGTGGAGTTTAACTAATCACTTCAAATCTTTGTAGCAATCGAGCTTATGTTTGCGTTGTTCTGTGTTTGTTTACTCCGACTGCCTCGAGGAGTGGGAGCTAGAAGAGGAGCATTGCGTGGGCGTTTGATATTAGGAAAACACTTATTGGTGCTCGCTAGAAGTAGCGGTGCGAAACGACTAGATTAAACACCGAGACGAACCAATCAGCTATTTGCATGCCGGCCGAATAGTTATCTCTCTGTGCACTACTTGAACAGCCAACAAGCGAGTTATTGCGCTATAGTCAGGAACTTTCAATTTGGTCATTCTCTCCTGAACTACAGTCGAACCCGCAGTCGGATCGAATCAAAACATCAAAGGGGTCTGCGGCAGATCAGAAAAGGTTACCTACGTCATTCAATACACGAGCAAGCTATATGACAGAAAATCCTCGGCCCTATTCCAAACTCGAGAACTGAGCGAAGTCGGTAATCTTTTCTCTCCGCATTTGTCAGCACTCTGTTGTTTACACACAAGTATGTCCAGTAACAGAAAGGACTTGTCCTTGACAGAAAAGTTGGCCGTTTTGGACAATAGGAAAACTTCTCTACCAGGAACCTCGCAGTCGGAGTTATCGCATGATTTACGCACTTCTCGCCGTACCCTAGCTAGGTTGATTGCCAGCGAAAACGATCTCCGGCAGAATTTGTCGCATGGCGCTGCAAGCTCTCAGAAAAGGAATCGATGTGGAAAGGATGACGAAGTTGAAAATGCAATGAAAGACTAGATGATATCGGTTCGTGAGCACAACAGGCCCGCTTTCACAGAAAAAAGTCAGTAGATTTCGGGGAAAAGCTTAAAAACATTTGCTGCCGCAGAAGGATAGTTGCAAACATAGAAGAATCGAAATCGACTTGTGTATAAACGTGCGCATGGCGAAAAGCGTTCCGCAAACACAGCAATCTGTAAAAATTTGCTGAAAAATCAACTGCCTGAACTTTTAGATGCATTAAATGATGATAACGTGTCCAATGCAGAAGAAAAAGGTCTTTTTTACCGAGCAACCCTAGAGAGCTCCTAGTGTTTTCTGCCGACAAGCTCAGCGGATCGAAAAAGTCATGGATAGAATCACTCTCCTGTGTTGTGCGAATAAATCAGGCACGTATAAATGAGAACTGGTTTTAATGGCGTGAACGTGGGCACACATCCAGCAATTTACAGAGCTAACAAAAATGCGTGGATGCCGAAAGAACTTTTCACTGAGTGGGTCCACGAATGTAACAAGGAGCTAAGCCAAAGTGGCCGAAGAATTATGTTAGTTTTGGATAATTACACTGCGTATCTACAGGTAGAATGCCTGAAAAGCATTCAAATGGAATTTTCGAAAGCAAACACGACCAACATTCTTCAACCCACAGACGTAGATTCGGTTATGAATCTGAAAATCCGTACTAGAATGGAAATTGTGAGCCGAATTCTTTAGCAGCTCAAAATAATGTACAACTGACGTCGCATTGCTTTCTCAGCAAAATATATAGAGTAGTGCCAGTTTCTGTAGCTATCCAGGTAGTATGCAGGTATTGTGTTATACATTTTTAATTATAGCTCATGCTCTTATAAATAAACATCTTTTGTAGACTTTAGTTACAAGTACGTATTTTATCCTTCTTAGGACGTTTAAACTCAAGTGATATACTGTACAACAATTCATTGATTGTTTCCGTTTTGGAAAAAATGGCAATATCAGTTAATTGCCCAGTCCGCTTTGTTGACCACTTTTGAAATATCCCGATGGCGCGCAATAAAGCGGGTCCGACTGTATTTATTTTGACCCTATATTTTAGCTGTACATATTTCCGGGTGCTCTATACAGTTTCTACACTTGGTTTTTGTTTTCTGATTTGAGAAGTGTCCGCATCCAGTGGCTGTATCGGTTATCCGTACTGTCAGCGGAAACAACAGTTTTTGGCGACGGATGCAAAGATATTCAAGTTGTTTATCTTTGCAAATGATTTAAAAGCACTTTTTCTTCCATTACGTTTTGTCAAAGAGTGTTCAAGAGCTCAGCTTCAATGAAACAGTTTCCCGACTTACAGAGATGTTCGGTGATCAAGCCTTGTTTTTCAACAATCGGTGCAATTGTCTGAAGCTATGCAAGAGTGACAGCAATAGTCTCATTGTTCACGCAGCAACAGTGATGAGAGAGTGCCGAAAATTCAAGCCGAAATCACTTACTGAGGACCGATTTGCTTGTCTGATACTGATATGCAGCGTGTAATCTCCAAATGAAACCGAGATCCGCACCAGAATACTCGGGTTGTTGGAGTGAGACGCGGATGTCACACTGCAAGCTGTCATTGTAAAAGCCCAGAGAATTCTCAACTTAAAACACTTACAGCTATGCTCGAGGATACGAAGACCCATTCCAGTGATTTCACACTTCAGCAGATTTGCAGGAACAAGCTACCGGCCACTGATTGCTTAAGGTAAACCACCATCAGCATGTTGGCAATGCGGAGACTGGCATATCTGCTTGAAATGTCGTAAACGCGACCACGAAGAAACTCATTGCAGATTCAAACCATCTTTCAGACTGGTTCATGATGCACAAAGAAAACCTATGGACGTTTCGCGAAGAGTGGACGCCAATTTTACTGACGATCTTAAAGATGACAGAAAATACATCAACCTCAATTGTTGCCAGGCGCGTTTGCAGATCGATACGGCCTCAGACATCACGGTCATATCAGAAAGGCTGTGGAGGATTGTCGGGTCGACAGATATCAAACTAACCGATCAACAGGCGAAAAGTGCATCAAGTGCCTAGTTGAAATTGCTTCGTCAAGTCGAATATGTGTCTCGTTATGCCAACTTTACCGCATGGGGAACGATTTTAGGTCACGAGCCACCGGAATTTGAATCTTTTGGGTCTGGACTGAATCGAGTGTTTCAACCTACTTGATGTTCCGATCAACCAGCTTTGCGCAAGTGTCCAGATACACAAGTCGACAGACCCAACAACTGTATCCATCGAGCGCCTACGTGAGAAATATGCAGCAGTCTTTCGAGAATGCCTCGGCAATTGCACCAAAGTACAAACTTCACTGACACTTAAGCCAGATGTTCTTCCAGTGTTTCGTACGAGACGCCCTGTAACTTATGCGGCAACTTCAATGGTTGACCAGGAGCTGGATGGCTTAGAGAGAGCAGAGATTATCCCTTCAGTGAATTACTTCTCTTGGGCGGCACCCATTGTCGTGGCCAAAGAGTCCAGCGGTCAGATTCGCATATGCGCCGATTTCTAGACGGGTCTTAATGGTACATTGTACGCCCATCAATGCCCTTTACCGTACCCAGATGATTTGTTCGCAAAATTGAATAGAAATGAATGTTTCGCAAACCTGGATCCTTCTGGTGCATACCTGCAGATCGAGGTACATGAAGCTTCATGATACTTATTCACTATCAATACGCATCGAGGCTTGTGCCAGTATCACCGTCTCCCATTTGGAGTCAAATCTGCACCAGCCATATTCCAACAGATCATGGGCACAATGCTGAAAAATATCGATGGAGCAGCCACATACCTGGATAATGTCATTGTTATCAGAGACAGTGCTAATGACTTATTCGAAAAGTTAGATCGAGTTCTTGGTCGTGTAGAGGAATATAGATTTAGACTACGACCTGAGAAGTGCAACTTCTTTATGGACTCGATTTCGTTTCTCGGCTTTATACTCGACAGGAACG